TCATCAGTTTTTTCTACCGACAATGTACAAAATTTACCTTCAAATAATTTTAAGAATACTGTGAATATATCAAACTATCAAATTAATGTAATCGACATTATAGAAAAAATTAACAGTCTACCATCGAAATTTTCCCATGGTCCAGATGGGATTCCAACTTATTTTTTAAAAAAGTGCATTTATACTTTGACTAATCCTCTAAAAATCGTTTTTTAACATATCCCTTAAATCAGGAATCTTTCCAAATTTCTGGAAACATAGTTTTTTGAAACCAATTTATAAATCGGGCCCAAAAGAGAAAATTGAAAACTACCGAGCTGTTTGTATCCAGTCCGATATTCCTAAAGCATTCGATTATCTCATGAGTAAGTTCTTATCTTGGGAATGTAAAAACATCATCATTAATGAACAGCATGGTTTCTGTCCTGGTCGGTCAACAGTGACTAATCTCTTGCTTTACAACACTTACATAATTAATGCTTTAGAAAATAAGTCACAAGTTGACTCGATCTATACAGACTTCTCAAAAGCCTTTGATCGAGTAAACCATAAACTTCTTATAAACAAACTAAAAAATATTGGAATATCGGGTGTCATGCTGACATGGATTCAAAGTTATTTAACAAATCGTTTTCAAAGCGTGAAAATTGCGGGTGTTGTATCTCATGAGATTACAGTTCCTTCAGGTGTACCTCAAGGTTCTCATTGTGGACCTATTCTATTTAATCTGTTTATTAACGATATTTGTGATACATTAAAATTTAGCCAATACCTACTTTTTGCAGATGATTTTAAGTTATTCAAATCTATTAATTCACATTCTGATATAATTGAATTGCAAACAGACCTTGACTCCCTGAATATATGGTGCAATCTAAACCAAATGGATTTAAATATTAAGAAGTGCTTCTGTATATCTTTTAGCAAAATTTGGTCACCCATCATACATGACTATCAAATTAACAATCATAGTGTGTCAAGAGTTGATACCATTAAAGATTTAGGTGTCATGATGAATAGTAAATTGTCTTTTCAGGCACATATAGATATGATAACAGCAAAGGCATCAAAACTATTAGGTTTCATTTCTAGGTCATCCACGGATTTTTCTGCTTATACGTTCAAAACGATGTATTGTTCTCTAATAAGATCACAATTAGAATACTGTTCGATTATTTGGAATCCATATTACAATACTCATAAGCATCAAATTGAGACTATTCAGAATAAATTCTTTAGAATATGCGCCTATAAAATGGGTTATATAAGAGGAGATTACTCATATGCTTCAATTAATTCTCAATTAAACTTAAAATCACTTCACTTTAGAAGATCAGTTTCTGATATAATTTTTATAAATAAATTGTTAACAGGGAATATTGATTCTCCCCAAGCAGTAGGTCTTATTAATTTTAATACCTTTAGTAGGACTAGACAATTCGACTTATTTAATATACCACTACATACCACTAATTATGCTTTTAATTCACCAGTAAGTCGAATGTTACGTGAATGTAATAAGTTGAAATGTAAAAATTGTGATATTTTTGGAACTATTAATGCTCTCAGGACTTTAAATAATATGGAAGTCTAACATTTTTTTTTGTCTTCATTTTCTAACTGATTTTATAATTGTTATTTGATGCCGTTATATTTTATATTTGTATAGTATTTTATATTACCTATATTAGTATTAGTTTAGTATTTTGTTAAGTATTTATTTTGCTGTTTTTATTCTAATTAATATTGTATTTTTTTTTTAATGGGGTTACCCGTGAATAAATAAATAAAAAAACTGTAATCCTTGCTTATGACTAAGTGTAAAAGTTAGGTACAACAAATAAAGAACTTAATTGATTACATGTAAATTACATATATATGTCGGTTTCGAGTTTAAGGATCAAAGGTACAGTTAAAAAGATGTAAATTGCAGATTAAATTATTTAAGTACTATAAAGTGGCTAAGTCTATTTATTAGGTGTAGTGAGTTACAATTCTTTTAATATTTACTGTACCATAGAGATGTTAGTCCTAAAGTACACTTGCGGGTTGTGACGTCATTAATGTTTATGACGATAGTGTTCATTTAATGCTAGTTAGAGTTATTTACACTATGCAAATTTCAGTTATTACCCACTGTTACTTTTTACACTTACACTGAGAGAAACGTTTGTTTAATGTTAAGAAACCTTATTAATATTTAACATATGGTAGGTTTGGATATGGCCGAACTTACGTAAGTTCACTATAACGACATCGTAAGTTAAAAGCTCATCAGTTAAAAATAAACACCGATATATTAATATTAAACTTATTTACGGGTTTAAAATTAAAATAGATTTATTAACATAAATCAAATATGTTAAATGTTAACAAATATATGTTTTAACATTATATTTTAGTTGTTCAATACAACATTTGTATCATAGTTATCAAATGTGAACTTTTACTATTAAACGTTATTTGTAAATGTTAAAATGTGATTGTTAACAGTTAATAAATCTATGTTTTGTGTTATATTTCATTATTTAATAAAGCATTATTCTATATTTCCAAGACATCTTTGTATCTTAGTTATCAAATCTTACATTTTATTATTAAAAATATTAATTGTAAATGTTAAAATTTGTTTGTTAACAGTTAAGAACAGTATAGTTTAAGAAATCTTGTGTATGTTTAATATTATACTTTAATTGTTTTATAAAATACTATTCGATTTCCAAGACATCTTTTTATTTTAGTTATCAAATGTTTTATGTTATTATTAAACATATTATTTGTAAATGTTAAAATTTCTTTTTATCTGTTAATTGATGATTTTGAATCTAGTAATTTATATTTGTTAGTATTTAGCCTAAATATATTAGGGATATGAAATCAAAGGTATACATACAGAAAATATATTTTATTAAATTGAAAAGTTAACAATACATGCTTATAAATTTCAACAAACATAAACAAATTAAAAAAACTAATATTAAATGTAGCGGCCGATAGGTGGTACAATGGTATCTCCGGCTGAAATTTTATAAGGTGAGTGGCAGGTCCACCAGGAAGTGTTATCTACAAGGATTTCGTGTTTCGTGACACACGATCGAATCTCGGTCAAACTCAATACATTTTTTTCTTGGAAAAACTATGAAAATTAAAAAAAAGTTCTTTTTAGGAGACTGTCATATGAAAAATAATATCTTTAAAGTGTCACTTTTTTGGCTGCATTTATTTTAAGGCAGCTTTTTATAAGCATAGGTTTATTATACTTATCGTTAGTAATGTTATACAAATTTAATTAGTTAACGATGGAATTTTATTCGAATAATAAAAATTTGAAACAATTCTTGCATTTAAGCCTCTTTTTAAAAACAAGAATATGAAAAAAATATTGGCTCAACTTGAGTCGCATAAAAAATGTTGTGTACACCTCGACTGTATAATTTTTTTTTGACCTAACCAGAAGTTGCTTGGTCTCGGCAGCAAACTTCAGATTCGGCCAGAAAATATCAACTTTATGGCCTTGTTACACAAATAACTATTCTATTGTTTGATTAAGGATAATTTTCTTACTGTAGTAGAATTTTATATAAATTAAAAGTTTATTCGGTCGTGTTTATTGTTTTTATAAAGTTTAAGTACCTACGGGCACTACATATATTTCGGAAATACTGTTCCATCTTCTGGCACCAGAAGATGGAACAGTGTTTCCGAAACATGTAGTGACTGTAGGTACTTAAATTTTATAAAAACAATAAGCTTTCGGAAAAGACGCTTTACTTAGTTGAGTTGAAACATGGCAAATATCCCATGAATAGAATGTTTTTCATTATTTGACTTTAATTAATTACAATATTCACGAAAATAATACGTACCTATTATTCAAATTTAATAAATAAATATGATTACTTACTAGGATAAAAAATCACTGTAAACTTTTAATAAACTTAGCTGCTAATGTCGGCGTCGCTCACAAAAAGAACGATTCTGTACTACAAACTGTAACCAGACAAGAACGTACTTAACAAAATGGCAATTAGAAACCACGTGGTGTTCCATGTTGCCAATTTGTGAAACTCAAATTACCTACCCACTGGGACTAAACTGCACTTAAAAAAAATTCAAATTTATAATACAATAATTAGTTATACGCCACTAGTAATACACCAAACAACTTTTAAATTAATTTACGCTAGTTTTATGTTAACGATAAATAGAAAAAATATTGCAAAATGGTACCTAATAGATAATTTGAATTGTTTACATTTCCTATGATAGCGCAATAACAAAACGTGAATGGCAACGTTGAGATCGGCGCATTAAGGGGACGATGAGTCTGGGTATTATTAAAAATATATTTGCTAACAGTTAACTTATCATAGCTGTATATTAAAATTAATTTATTTTGTAGAGCGCGAAAGCACAATTGTTATATTTAAATTGTTGTATTTTAATATTAAGAAATTTGTAATGTTTAGATAAACATGATAGTTATTTTTAAATATACGTATATTTCCGAATAAAATATTTGTTAATATCTACTATACCTTACTGTAACAAATGTTTTGTTAAAGAAAAACTCGTATTTGTGAGATATTTATTAATAATTATAATATTATGGTATTAATAAATTTCCTCAGTTAATATTTAAAGAATTTCTTCCTAACTTACAATATTTTAAATATAAACTACTTTTTTCTCTCAGTGTAGTTAACTATAGATTTTTCTCCCAGAGTATTCCTTCGGTTTTTTTACAAATTTTATGTACGGACTGAAACTACTAACTAAGACTCTATACTTATAATTTTTTCCATCTCAAGTTTAGAGATGACTACTGTGAGAATAGTTTTATTTTCCTTTTCACATTACATATGCCTACAGAATATTCCTAAAGAATTTAAATGCCTTCCCAATTCAAAAAATATAAAACTACATCCAAAATTATAGTAATAGTATACTCGGAAGTAAAAAAAGTACCTTTACTAAAACAGAATGAAATATTTACTCACCCAAACATGTCCTAGGTCCTTCCCCAAACGTCAGAAAAGCACAAGGATGTCTGTTTGATTTATTTAATTCATTAAATCTTTCAGGATCAAAATTTTCTGGATCGGGATAATAGTCCGGATCATTATGTATTCCTTGAATTGGAATAAATACTCTAGTGCCGCTTTCTAATACGATATTTGTATTTGGTACTTTATAGTTCTCGTTACAAACTCGAATGGTGCCAGCCCCAGGTGGATGTTTTCGAATGGTTTCTAAAGGGAAGTTTAACCAAAATATAATATGTATTTATTTACAGCAACATAGAATGGACAAATTTTGTATTTTTTTATTAGGGTTGGAGATAGCCATATACAGTTCATCAAATTTCTAGAGGTGTTCGACGCCCAGACAGAGAACGCGCTACGTGTGACTAAGATAGCTATTGTACAGTCTGCTAAACAAGTTATTTTAAATAGTTTTTAATATTTTTAGGTAATTAAATTTTAAAAGTGTGGAATAGTTTAGGGATTAAATTGGTCTGATTGGACTTTCTTAGAACGTTTTTAAAAGCAGCTAAAGATAGTATGTAGAATTGAAAATAATTATTATGCCATAAAAGGTGTTTTGGAATTCCTTCAACCTTTTGAAATTGAGTCAGAAAATATAAATTTTATAGGATAGCGGAAAATACCTATACTTTTTTTGTAGGCCTTTGTAAATCGTGGAAATAGTTTATATTTTATTTCTACCTTATTAAAGAAAATGGTACCTATTATTAATAACGGTTGTTTCTGAAACATTACTAAAATTTTTGAAATTTTGTTTTTCTACAAAATAAACTATACTATTTAGAAAAAAATTTATTTCTCTTATAATTTTATAAAAAATAACAGGGGAATATTTACATTTCTAGATCTATTAAACAAAACGATAAATTATCTCGACGAATGACACCATGTTCTAGTACGGAAGCTAGCTTTACATTTTTGTTGGTGGTTTCATGGGTTTCATATCAATTTTTTGTAATTGTAGTTTACACGTAGATATACCTCTTAACACTTGTTTGCTTTATTAAAAAAGTGTGTTGTTGTGATTTACGTCGAAATAAGTCAAAAACAACTTGAAACCCCATATAAAATCAAAAAGGAGAAACGGAAAAAAATTGAGCCTGTAAATGAACACAACTCAGAAACAAAAATAGCTATCTAATAATAAAAAATAAAATTTGATTCTTGTGCAGCTTCATCTATATCATTAACTGTTTTTGGTTTTTTAATGGTTTTTCTTGGTGATGAAAATTCCGATATCTCACGGTTATCGATTCTTTTTTTCTCTCCAGAAATGCGGACGACAGTGTTTTTAGATACTCCTGTGGCTGCAGCAACACGATCATTTACATTTTTAAATGGTATTGAAGGTGAATTAAAGTTTCCTTCTCTTCTTATAAACTCTATAACATTGGCTATTATTTCGCGAGATTGACTGTTAATCACGCGACCTCTTAATTTGCTATTAAACTCCATACTTAGGTTCTATTAAACTGTAATGAGCAAAAAACACAAACGAAAATAAAAGAAATGTTTTAGCGAAATTTACATCTGACATTTACGTCAGAATGAAATAGTGAAATACTTGATGCGCAGAGTGTACTTTCATTGCGTAAATCCGTCGGGATGCCTGTCAGTAGTGCTTTCTCTGTCTAGCCGTCGAAAGCCTCTAGAAATTCAATCAATACTACAAGTAAAAATTAGTGAAAATTACCTAAAGAGAAAAGTTATTAATAATAGATAATTAAAAATTAATAATAAATGCATCTGTGAAATATTTTCTCAAATAAATATTTATACTAAACAACAACTAAGATTACATATGCCTTCTTTTTACACTTCACTAAGTGTTTTGAGATAAATTAACTGTATGACATAATTAATCATACATTATTTACACTGGCCAAATTCATAAAAAAATAAGGTACGTACGATAATAATACATCTCTTAAAAATACAGGGTGAGTCGGAAGGAGCGCACCAAACTCTAGGATTATATTATACACGTGAAAATAATGTAAAAAACTCATATGTTCTTATCCGATTTTCATTTGTTTTCAGGTTATGGCGTAATTAAAAATGTTCATCTAGCTTTCCACTTCTGAATTTTAACATTATCAAAGTATGCCATATGTTCAAGGCTCAAAGGCATTTGATAATTCTGACGTTTTGATGAACTGTCAGTGTACAGTGAACAGTAACTGAACGTTTAATTTCGAATTTATGAGATTGTTAGTGTTGCAAAATGCCAGATACTAATTCAAATTTAGAATATGCAAATATGGTGTTTGTTTATGGTTTCTGTAATGGAAATGCTACAGCTGCTGCTGAAGAATATCGTCAACGTTTTCCACATCGAAGACATGTAGGTAGCAATTTCCATTTAAATAATTTTCATCTGAATATTAAAAAAATAATTTATTAACTTTAAAAAATCCAAATATATATGATAACTTAATAATAATGTCTTTTTAAAAAATGTCGCGTCTTTGTGTCATGTCTTGTCTTCTTAATTTCGAATCAGTAATCAATAATTTTGTTTCCTTTTCCTTGGTTACCATTCATCGGATAAGTAGGGTGCTAGTGTACGCAGCTATCGACCAAGATCATAATATATGTGATAGTATAATGGTACCATCTGACATTGACACTTGACCAACCTCAAATAAAAACTGACTAAGAAACCTTAAAATAAATTGACATAAAAGTCAAAACTAAAGGTAAGACTATGTGGTGCTATGATGTCGCCACATAACCTCCCCGCTCAAAAAAAGAAAAAGAAATCACCCATATAAAAATAATGGTTTAGTTATAACTTATTGGGTTTAAAACAAAAGAAACCTTTTTCTTCGGTTTTGAAAAAACATTTTGAACATCTTGTTCTGTTAATAAAAAGGTTGGCTTCAACCTATCTATGTTAATTAATGATTCTTTGCCATTAATTAAAATCTTAAAAACTTTATCATTTCTACTAATGACTTTGTACGGTCCTTCAAAAGGAGGAGTTAATGAAGGTTTAATACCTTGAACTTCAACAAAAACGAAATCATTTTCCATCAAATCTGATGAAATGAAAAATTTCTTTGTACCGTGTCTATATATTTCAGTGGGTTTTATATTATCGAAATGTTCTTGTAATTTAATTAAGAATGAATCAGTATCAAAACTTTCACTACTGTCTACAAAAAAATCTCCTGGTAATCTTAAGGATTGTCCATAGACTAGTTCAGCGGAAGAACAATTCAAATCTTCCTTTACTACACTTCTCAAACCTAATAAAATCAATAAGAGATGCTTTTAATGTTCTATGGAATCGTTCTATCATTCCGTTTGATTCTGGATGATAACATTTTTAAAACCTAATTTTCGGCTAAATTCTTTAAATAAATGTGACTAGAATTGGCTACCTTGGTCGTGTGTGACGCTATAAGGTACACCAAAACGAGCTATATAATTATTAATTAATGTTTTTATAATTACTTCTGTAGCAATTGTTGCTAAAGGATAAACTTCTACCCATCTCGTATATCTGTCTATAAGTGTTAATAGGTAGGAGCAACCTCCTGAAGGTTTAAGGGGTCCAACAATATCTATATGGATGTGTTAGAACCTACCTTTTGGGATTGAAAATTCACCTGTTGGTGATTTTGTATATTTAGACATTTTTGCCTTTTGACAATTTATGCAAGATTTTGACCATAAGTGTATATCTTTGCTCATTCTTGGCCAAAAATATCTATTTTTATCAATTTTAAAGTGCTCTTACCTCCTGTGTGCGCCACGTTATGTACCTTAATAAAAATATTATAACGTTGTGACTTAAGAATGTAAGGTTTTAAAGTATTATTAGTATTTTCACACCATTTATCTGCTGGTGGGAAATTAACTTGAACTTCTTGTAAATTAAATTTGTTTTTATTATTATTTTGATTTTGTGACTCTAATAAACCTTTTAATTCTAAATCTAATTTTTGTTCGTCTCCTATTATTTTTAAATCTAATTCCGATTCTATTTTTTCTACTGAAATAAAATCTAATTCCATTTTACTTAAGAAATCTGCGACTATTACGTTTTTGCTACCTACGTAAAAAACTTTATTAGTAAATTGTAAAATATATTCTATATATCTGAATTGTCTAGGAGATCTATCTGTTTTGGAGAAAATTGTTTTTTCAATTGGTTTATGATCACAAAAAACTTTAAAATATTTTGATTCTAACATATATCTAAAATGTTTGATTGAAAGGTAGATTGCATATAATTCTTTATCGAAAACACTATAGTTTAATTGCGATTTGGTTAATTTCTTTGAGAAAAAAGCGATGGGTTGTCTAACACCATCTACTTCTTGTTCAAGAACACCACCTACACAGGAATTACTAGCATCTGTTGTAAGTGATAGAATGGATTCCTCTGAAAGATGTACCAGAAAAGATGCTTTAATAAGTGCTTCTTTTACTTCATTAAAACTCTTTTCATAATCGATTGGCCAATCTTTATTTTTGTCTAAAAATGTTATGAAATCGTGCAAAGGTGCTAAAATTTGGGCGAATTTTGGAACGAATTTGTGATAAAAATTTATCATACCAACAAAACGTTGTAATCGTTTGAGAGTATTCGGCTTAGGAAAATTTTTAATACATTCTATTTTTTCGTCTGAAGGAAATAATCCTTCCGCTGAAATAGTAAAACCTAAGAAATTAATTTTTTCAACTCCAAAAATGCATTTACTTGGTTTAACGTTAACGCCAAAAGAGTGTAATCTTTCAAATAAAATATCCAAATGTTTAAAATGATCAATTGAATTTTTGCTAGCGACTAAAATGTCGTCTAAATACACGAAAAGAAAATATAAGCCTCTAGTAACTTCGGTAATGAATCTTTGAAAGGTATTGCCAGCGTTTCGCAATCCAAAAGGCATTCAGAGAAATTCAAAAGATCCAAAAGGAATGGTGATTGCTGTTTTAAAAATATCTTCTTCAGCCATCGGAATCTGGTGATAGGCCCTAACCAAATCGATTTTTGAGAAAATTTTACAACCATGACATTGATATGAAAATATGAGTTCCCCTTGTATAACTTTATTAATTGTATTACCCCTTATATATGTTATTTATCTTTGTCATTAGTTGTCATCATTTATGTGAAGTTTTTGCTGAATAAAGCCAATTAGTTCTTGGTTCACATAAGTTTATAACAGACATTTAACATTAACGTCAGAAATTAAACTTAAAGGAAATCTGTCAGGTACTGTTACTTTATTTAAAAATCTGTAATCTCCACAAGGTCTCCAATCTTTTGAGTCTTTTTTTTGACCATGTGTAAAGCAGAAGTGACATAAGAAGATGAAGGTCGGCAAATGCCTAATTCAATCATTTGATCGAATTCTTGTTTAGCAATTTGATATTTTTTTAGGATCTAAACGTCTAGGTTTACAAAAAGGTAAGTTTCCTTCTGTTATAATATGATGTTTAACGTTATGTTTTGCAGATAAATTAAAATTTAGAGATGAAAAAATTCCAGTATATTTTTTAAAAAGTTCCCTATATTTAGTTTCAACATTAAATAGTTTAGGTGAATTGTCTTTAGTTTTGAAATTAAAAATTTTTCGAATAGAATCTAATGAAGTTTCACTATCGCGTATTTTAGAATTTTTGAAATCCAAAATTAGGCCAAAATGAGTTAAGAAATCTGCACCTAAAATTGGTTTAGTTACATTTGCAATGGTGAAAAGAAAAGGAAATACTCTTCGCAATCCAATATCGATATTAAGAAATTTTTTTCCATAAGTAGATATTGTATTGCCAGAAGCTGAAGTGAGAATAAACTCTTTATCTATTAATCCTTTGAAAATTTTGTTTGGAACCACGCTAATATCAGCTCCTGAGTCAACCAAGAATTCTAAATTATTTAATTTATCAAAAAGAAATAATCTTTTAGAAAATTTTCCACCTATACTACCTAATGTTGATTTTACTAGTTTTTTGGAATATAATTTTTGAAAGTTTCGTACATTAAGCAAGAAGGTCATGCACATTTATATGCGTTCTTCTTATATTTACTGTGATAAAAACATAATGGATCATTCGATTCATTTTCCTTATTGAATTTACGAAAATATTTATTTCTGCTTCTAGATCTTGAAGAAGATCTACAGTAGCATTTTTGATTGGAATCATCACGTGATGTGTGAGAGGGTCCCTTATTTTCCAATATCATAATCTTTTTTTCTAATTCAGTTTGTTTATTAATTAAATCACCCATCATTAATTTAAAATTTTGATTTAAATCATTTATTGATTTGGAAAGATTTAGAATTTCGGTATTTTTATTAATAGAAAAAACTTCGTCTTTGTTACCAGTATAATTAGAACAATTAGAGGAAGGGGACGATTCCCAAATTTTATCGGCAATATCTAATAACTCTTTAGTAGAAGATTTTACAGATACAGTTTAAGAAATATCTATAAATTTTGGGAGTCTTCTTCTCCATATTTTTAATAATAAATTTTCATGAATTATAAAATAACCTGAAAATCTAATTCTCTATAAAAATCTGAAGGTTTTTTTATCGCCCATTTCAGCTCTGGATAGTAATTTATCTAACCGTTGTTCCTCAGAGAGAGAAAGTCTATTTATATCTGATTCTTTTAAGGTAGAAAAAGCATTTTTCTCTGGGGGATCAGAGATTATATCGTAAATCTTAGCGAAAATTTCGGCTGGTAAATGTGGTAAATGTGTGATCGCCAAATGAAATTTACTTTTCTCAGAATGGATTTTATGGATATAAAATTGACTCTCTATGTAGTTGAACCATAGATCTGGTTGATGCGCCCAAAAAACTGGCAGTTTGAGTTTAGAAATGTCTTCCATAAAAATATTATTATCAACTGAGGTTTGAGGCTCCTCAACTGGCAATGTCAGACTGTCTGTAGGCATTATATATGATCAAAAATCGATAAAAGATACCAACAAAAACACCCCACTTACCCGAAAAAAGGTATCAACCTTAAATGGATATTCAATTGCTTTCTTGGGTGGGATCTTCAAAATGTCGTTCTTGTCGGGTGTAGGAATCTTCTGTCTGGTGTGGAATCTTCTGTCGGGTGTCAAATCTTCTGTTGGGTGTGAAATCTTCTGTCGGGGTCACTAATTGTAGGTAGCAATTTCCATTTAAATAATTTTCATCTGAATATTAAAAAAATTATTTATTAACTTTAAAAAATCCAAATATTTATGATAACTTAATAATAATGTCTTTTTAAAAAATGTCGCATCTTTGTTTCATGTCTTGTCTTCTTAATTTCGAATCAGTAATAAATAATTTTGTTTCCTTTTCCTTGGTTACCATCCATCGGATAAGTAGGGTGCTAGTGTACGCAGCTATCGACCAAGATCATAATATATGTGATGTTAGGTGCGTTTTAATTATCCGCTTCTGCTTCCGGAATTGTATATAAATATATATAGAAGAAAAAAGGGTTATTGGGAAATACCGCAAAAAAGAGGGAAAAAAAGCCTGAAGGGCAAACCGTAGACACGTGTTTCTGACTATTGGCCTTCATCAGTACGGTGCAGCCAAGTCAGTTTTTAACTTAACGCCCTCTAGCGGCGTTCATAAGCAGCCACAATTTACTAAGCTAAAAATGAGGCTGAAAAAATTCTTCTCAGCGAAACCAAGGTCACTAAATTCGGTAACGCCAAACCGGAATTATGAGCATTTTTCCAAATTAAAGTTTAACCTTCCCCCATCACTCTATTTCACAACTGACAAAAATTACACCTATAACTTTTTTGTTCAGAAAATATTGAAGATTAAAATAGTAATATTTATCAATATATTTTACTTGGTATTTTTTTGGGAAAATTACATTTTTATGTTTTGACGTCACAATTACGCCCCCTAGCGGCCACCCTACAAACTTGAAAATAATTTTCAGCAATTTCTCTTGGCCGTTTTTATTAAAATATTTTTTCCCCAAAGATGTACTATTATTAGTTTCTGAATTATAGCCGGCTACCTCTCTTGATGGAACACCCGGTACATTAGTTTGCCCCTCTTTTTGGAATGCTTTGTTTTCGGATGGCTCTAACCTCAAACCAACATTAGTTAATCATCACATTTACTTAGTACTTTTGTATTAGATTGATTAAATTATAAATTTACAATAAAGAAAATAAAAAGAAACGGTAGAACTGAAGTACAAAATAAGCATTTTCAAAATTAACAACTATTATCATGAATGAACTGGTACTTACCGTGTACAACTTTGTTTAAATATTTCATTCCCATAATATTTTTATATGTTAATTTATTTTCGTTCTCCTGTAACACCAAACTAATTTCTTCTCTTAACTTTTCTTGAATTTCAGGATTTAAGGCTAATTCTAGGAACGCGAAAGTTAATGCTATAGTTGGAGGCTCAAATCCAGCAATAAAAAATAGAAAACATTGAGCAGTTAGTTCATTATATGTAAGAAAATCATTTTTATTTTCCTTTTTTAGTTGCAATAGACATTTCAGAAAATCTGTTTCTTCAATGCTGTTTTCTTCTCTACTTTGAATTGTTTTTCTTACCAATCCCATGAAGAAATCTTCAAAGTCTAGTCGTGTTTGTCTATAACCCAATTTAATAAGAATATTCTTTGGCACAGTGAGTCCAATTAAACATTTTAATAAAGTACCAAAGGTATTGTCTTCAAGGAACATTTTTGCAAAATACTTAAATTCAGAATTCGGTTCTTTGAGAACGTTGTAGTCAATACTGAAAGCTACACAACCAATTACTTCAACTGCATATTCTTTTATCACTTGTTTTATATCAACAACTTTATTCTCAGCTGCATGACTGGTTAGTAATTCTGTTAAAGTTCTTGTACAGTTCATTATAGTAGGAAACATCATTTTTATTTTTCCTAAAAATAATTTATTATCAAAACGGTGTTCAAATTGACGTAACGAGGGCCACCAGGCAGGACCTTGTAAGTCGCAAAATCAATATTTTTTGGAAGATAAAATAAACGATTTAAAAGTGCATAGAACAATCTATTTCACTCTATTTAGGCGCGTATAGATATACCGCACAGGGCCTGGACCAACAACGGGCCCAGGTTCGTCAGATTTACGGTGTCGTATATCTACCGCGCTATGAAAAGCAACAGACCTGCTACGGGCTAAGTCTTATAAAATCGAAGTAGGCCCGTTTGCTTTCCATGGCGCGGTAGATATACGACACACATACTTTGATTACTATACGAGGCAAGAGAGAGGTCCGACACGCCCAACATAGGGCGCGGCCATTTTGAACCCTGTGACACAGTTTACAGCTAAAGAATCAGATCGCTCACTCTGCGTCGGCACTTTGGATCTCAATGTTTCAGTTTATACACTGTGCAACTCGGATAATACAATATATGACAACCGCCTATAATAAAACCTCAGAGTAAGTAAATAAAACAGCAGTCTTCTGCGTATCCTGAATTTGTATCCCTGGAGTGGATGTTATTTTGGAACTTTCAACTGGTCCGAGTGAGCTAACTGATTCTTTAGCAATAAACTGTGACTTCAAAAATAATATTCACTGACACCCCAAAAGAAAATCAAAGTATGTGACTGACACTGACAGCAGCAAGCAAAATATCAGGTGCGTTTTAATCATCCGCTTCTACTTCCGGAATTGTCGGTTAGTCGTTTTAACCTGTCAGATTAAAACAAGAAAACCGACAATTCCGAAGAAGAAGCGGATGATTAAAACGGACCTATTAAAAATATTGCGCCAAAATGTAGGCAACACGTAATAAAGATTCAAAATGGCAGAGTTTTATATCTCCTTCTAAAAGGCACTCAGAAAGCTGCGCAGTGCGACCATTCTCCGTATAGTAAAATAAAATCAAAGTATGTGGAGCGACATCAACTTTGTATAGATTTATACAGGGGTAGCCTATCTGTCAATATATTATGTAAGAGACGAATATGGCGACAAGAATTTCCGGTCTACCAGTGACGTACTATCATAAAAGGACGTAGAAAAGAAAATTATAAAGTCTCATTTGCATATTATCTAAATTTACCGATTTCTCTCATTTTAACGAATTGCTACTTTCTTGCGAGAAGTTTGCATTTTTTTTATTAACCTTCATTATGTGAATAAATTTTTACTTTAGAATTGCATGTTGGGTGGGATAAATATAAGAAAATATTTATGGGATAATTTATAGAAGGATTTCATTTGAAAAATCAAAGCAATAATGTGTTAAAAAAAAATATTGACTTTTTTACGTCTTTATTATGACAATGTCTTTATTAATCTACATTTTACAAATTAATAGGTTTGAAAAATAAATATGTTTTGTAGATATTCGTTAAAAAAAATTAAATATCCTATACTTATATTTAGGTCAAATACCGCTGTGATATTTCTTTCTTAGATGTTTTTATTGGAGTACATATAAAACTTCCTACTATCGAAGAGAATTTCTGATCATTTTATTACATATTATTAGTCATATTTTTGCAGGATAATTTTGCATAAGCAGGTAAAACACCTTTTCAAGAAAGGATCCTATAACGTAATTCTATGACTGCAAAATAGATTATTTTTAAATGTACATTCAACGCAATATTTGTATGCTTAGTCCAGTTATGATGAGAATCAATTTGTACTCTAAGGTATTTGATATCATTTGTAATACTTATATGAAACTACTGAACGTTACCTTTTATTGTTTCTATAGGAAGAGGCTATCTTTTTGTAACTGTAAAATGGAACAACATAAGTTTTATTAAAGGTTTATAAGTTTTTATAATTAAACCATTCGAACAATTTTATAAGATCTGTTTCTATTAATAATTTTAATCAATTCCAGTACTCTGCATTTTACATCATAACTGTGTCGTCAGAAAAATTTACAATATTTCCATCTGTATTTAAACGACAAATTATTTAAAATAAAATTAAACAAGATAGGATCTAAGACAGTATCTTGAGACATGCGATATACTAATTTCCTTACTTGAGATATTAATCCTATTTGTGTTTGTTTTTGTAAATAACTTTGTAATAAATTATATAGAGTGCATCACATTCATACAATAAACTTCTATTATACGAAAAAAACGGCACTTGTTATCATTAGTAAATAATTTATTTACTTATATACTTCAACCGGACCACTTTTTTTGTTGGAACAGCTGTTGGTAGAAATATTATTCTTGGTTTTGAGGTTCGATCAAAACAATTTGCTTTAAAATTGTGTGAGCACAAAAAATTAAGATGTTTTGGCTCACAATTTGTTTGTTGCATGAACTCAAGCCATAACTTTTTTTTTGAGAATCTTTAGAAAATCTGAAAATTGTCTACCTGAGATTAATTTATATAATTTGTAAATCTAGAATCTTTAAGAACTCTGAAAATTGTTTACTTGCAATCAATTTATAAATCTAAATTGAACAATAACTTATTCATTTTAACAACCACATAAATATCTTAAAATTGCATAAAAGAATTGTTTAAATAAAAGTATGTATACTCTATAAACCATGAGACTACGTCTATGAGCACAGTTGATCGCAAACGCACTTACCATGTTTGTTTACAAATTTAAAACATTAAAAATTTTAAAAATCTTTAATGTGTGTTCCATCCAGCGTTCCAAAAACATTACCGCTACATATCTAGCCGAGGAAATAGATTCCCACCTCTAACTGGAACCAGCGTCATTCCGGCGAGGAAATGACATTTTACAATAGTGATTTTCCCGCATTCGCAAATATTCACGAGAGTGGTGCATATGCCACACCCTTTTGTTTTACCATTTTTTGATTGTATTAATAAAGTGTTTCCATAAAGCTAATCATTTTAATCATCCTACATTAATAAAAATTTGCAATAACAAGGCAAATAATAATGTGGTTGAAAATTGGGAGAAAAAAATACTTGCTTATGAAATGTACATTATTCCTTTCTACTTTTAGCTGTGCTGCTGTATCCACAAGACGAACAACTGACCATATTGTCTTATTTGTATTTTAACGCGGAAAATTTAAAATTAACAGATATACTAAATAAATACTAAAACACTAAACACTTTTTAAAAATATCTACAAAACATACGCTTGATAAAAGTTTAAATTAACAAATAAAATATCCAAAATATTAACGAATTTTATTCACTAAAATTATAAACCAATTTTAGAAACCATTTATCATCCGATGATGAGTCATCCATAGTACAACATGACATGCTCCTTCCTGACTATTTATGTTCTAAGGTTCTACCCGATTAAATTTTTTTTTGTTTTGTTCCGATGACAACTATTATGACATTTTTTCTCGAAAACCCAGGGTGAATAAAAGCAGTCTATTAATAACACATACTTTGATTACTATACTAGGCAAGAGAGAGGTCCGACACGCCCAACATAGGGCGCGGCCATTTTGAACCCTGTGACACAGTTTACAGCTAAAGAATCAGATCGCTCACTCTGCGTCGGCACTTTTGATCTCAATGTTTCAGTTTATACACTGTGCAACTCGGATAATACAATATATGACAACCGCCTATAATAAAACAGCAGTCTTCTGCGTATCCTGAATTTGTATCCCTGGAGTGGATGTTATTTTGGAACTTTCAACTGGTTCGAGTGAGCTAACTGATTCTTTAGCAATAAACTGTGACTTCAAAAATAATATTCACTGACATTGACAGCAGCAAGCAAAATATCAGGTGCGTTTTAATCATCCGCTTCTGCTTCCGGAATTGTCGGTTTAGTCGTTTTAACCTGTCAGATTAAAACAAGAAAACTGAAAATTCCGAAGCAGAAGCGGATGATTAAAACGCACCTATTAAAAATATTGCGCCAAGATGTAGGCAACACGTAATAAGGGTTCAAAATGGCGGAGTTATCTATCTCCTTTTAACAGGCACTCACAATAGCCCAATCGGATTAGGTGAAGAACAGGCTTGAGATTCTGAAAAATTCGAAGCAGCAATTTTCCTTCGGAATTCGTTGGAGGGGGTCTGTGGTAGTCTAAATTCAAAAAGTTGGGATTCCAAAGTTGTCGTTACCTCCGCCAGCTTGATTTAAAGGGTTATTTTTTGTATCTTGAATAACTCATTTATTTTCAATTTTACACGGAAAATAGTTCTTACAAAAGTTATTTAAAATTAAATTTCCTACAATTCTGCTTTTTTTTGTACGATCGATTTTTTTCGATTTATACCCGAAAAGAGGGGGTGAATTTTTGGTTATAGAATAACTCGTTTATTTTCAATTTTACGAGAAAAATTGTTATAAACAAAGTTGTTTAAAATTAAATTTCCTACAATTCTATTTTTTTCGTACGCTCGATTTTTTTGTATTTATCCCTGAGAAGAGTGGGGGTAAACTCTTATCATTGTATTATCACGTTTCTTTTTAATTCCAGGTATCAGCAAAAAAAAAAACAGAAAAAATAATGGTACAACATCAATAATAAACGTGACAATACAATACTTAGGTTCACCCCCACTCTTCTCAGGGATAAATACAAAAAAATCGATCGTACAAAAAAAAACAGAATTGTAGGAAATTTAATTTTAAACAACTTTGTTTATAACAATTTTTCTCGTAAAATTGAAAATAAACGAGTTATTCTATAACCAAAAATTCACCCCCTCTTTTCGGGTATAAATCGAAAAAAATCGATCGTACAAAAAAAAGCAGAATTGTAGGAAATTTAATTTTAAACAACTTTGTTTATAACAATTTTTCTCGTAAAATTGAAAATAAACGAGTTATTCTATAACCAAAAGTTCACCCCCTCTTTTCGGGTATAAATCGAAAAAAATCGATTGTACAAAAAAAGCAGAATTGTAGGAAATTTAATTTTAAACAACTTTGTTTATAACAATTTTTCTCGTAAAATTGAAAATAAACGAGTTATTCTATAACCAAAAATTCACCCCCTCTTTTCGGGTATAAATCGAAAAAAATCGATCGTACAAAAAAAAGCAGAATTGTAGGAAATTTAATTTTAAACAACTTTGTTTATAACAATTTTTCTCGTAAAATTGAAAATAAACGAGTTACTCTATAACCAAAAATTCACCCCCTCTTTTCGGGTATAAATCGAAAAAAATCGATTGTACAAAAAAAAGCAGAATTGTAGGAAATTTAATTTTAAACAACTTTGTTTATAACAATTTTTCTCGTAAAATTGAAAATAAACGAGTTATTCTATAACCAAAAATTCACCCCCTCTTTTCGGGTATAAATCGAAAAAAATCGATCGTACAAAAAAAAGCAGAATTGTAGGAAATTTAATTTTAAACAACATTGTTTATAACAATTTTTCTCGTAAAATTAAAAATAAACGAGTTATTCTATAACCAAAAATTCACCCCCTCTTTTCGGGTATAAATCGAAAAAAATCGATTGTACAAAAAAAAGCAGAATTGAAGGAAATTTAATTTAAACAACTTTGTTTATAACAATTTTTCTCGTAAAATTGAAAATAAACGAGTTATTCTATAACCAAAAATTCACCCCCTCTTTTCGGGTATAAATCGAAAAAAATCGATCGTACAAAAAAAAAGCAGAATTGTAGAAAATTTAATTTTAAATAACTTTTGTAAAAACTATTTTCCGTGTAAAATTGAAAATAAATGAGTTATTCAAGATACAAAAAATAACCTTTAAATCAAGATGGCGGAGGTAACGACAACTTTGGAATCCCAACTTTTTGAATTTAGACTACCAGAGACCCCCTTCAACGAATTCCGAAGGAAAATTGCTGCTTCGAATTTTTCAGAATCTAAAATACTAATCCGATTGGGCTAAAACCTGCGCAGTGCGACCATTCTCCGTATAGTAAAAGAAAATCAAAGTATGTGATTAATAAAGATTTACATTATTTAAATTAAAATTGTTTGCATACCTGGAGTAAAAGCAGGTGTCAATTTTGATCTCAACCGTCTCCACTTTTCATTTTCCAAACTAAAAAGATGCGCCGTAAGTGGATCAATTTCTTCATTAACGTAAAGTCCGTGGTTCATAAAATGTTTGAAATCCTTAATTAAAATGTTTTTAATAATATCCAGGTCAAGAGGCATATACACCGGTTGGTGTAGTAAAAATAATCCACCATGTTTTGCTCCTTTCTTTTTAAATGTACTGTACAATTTTGAGTATTTTTCGCCTAGAGATACTTTTTGTAAAATAACTTCTTTGAAATTTCCAAAAAACATCTGTGGTTCTATGTAATCCAGACCAACTCTTTTCCAATACGAATAATTCCATAATAAATATAAGTAACCAATTATGAGCACAGTAAATATAGTTGAAATTAAAAACGTAAGAATCATTTTTGTAAGATTTTCTACGCGGATCGGAAGATATTTGGTCAGAGCTAAAAAAAAAAAATGTTATATTTATTAAAAAAATTAAAAACAATAGTTTTTTCACCCTGTTCCGTGTCCAGGAATATGAGAGTTCAATCATAGAAGCAATGTTTAAGGTTTATTGGGAGTGTTATAAGGAATCTATTTTTTGAAAAAATGTAAGTTAAGAGAGTTTGCAGGTTCTGCCAGTTTGAGGATGAATTATTCACTAGTTACCCTAATGTTGTAACAGTTGGAACCGTCGAAAAATCGAAAAATCGAAAAATCGAAAAATCGAAAAATCGAAAAATCGAAAAATCGAAAAATCGAAAAATCGAAAAATCGAAAAATCGAAAAATCGAAAAATCGAAAAATCGAAAAATCGAAAAATCGAAAAATCGAAAAATCGAAAAATCGAAAAATCGAAAAATCGAAAAATCGAAAAATCGAAAAATCGAAAAATCGAAAAATCGAAAAATCGAAAAATCGAAAAATCGAAAAATCGAAAAATCGAAAAATCGAAAAATCGAAAAATCGAAAAATCGAAAAATCGAAAAATCGAAAAATCGAAAAATCGAAAAATCGAAAAATCGAAAAATCGAAAAATCGAAAAATCGAAAAATCGAAAAATCGAAAAATCGAAAAATCGAAAAATCGAAAAATCGAAAAATCGAAAAATCGAAAAATCGAAAAATCGAAAAATCGAAAAATCGAAAAATCGAAAAATCGAAAAATCTAAAAATCGAAAAATCGAAAAATCGAAAAATCGAAAAATCGAAAAATCGAAAAATCGAAAAATCGAAAAATCGAAAAATCGAAAAATCGAAAAATCGAAAAATCGAAAAATCGAAAAATCGAAAAATCGAAAAATCGAAAAATCGAAAAATCGAATAATCGAAAAATCGAAAAATCGAAAAATCGAAAAATCGAAAAATCGAAAAATCGAAAAATCGAAAAATCGAAAAATCGAAAAATCGAAAAATCGAAAAATCGAAAAATCGAAAAATCGAAAAATCGAAAAATCGAAAAATCGCAAAATCGCAAAATCGAAAAATCGAAAAATCGAAAAATCGAAAAATCGAAAAATCGAAAAATCGAAAAATCGAAAAATCGAAAAATCGAAAAATCGAAAAATCAAAAAATCGAAAAATCGAAAATTCAAAAAATCGAAAAATTAAATTTGAAAATGAATAATTCACAATAATCTACAACAAAATATGGGACCACCATTGACGCGGTATTTTTCAGATATTTAGAGGATATCAAGTCTCAAACTTATGTTTCTTATTTCAGTTACCATAAACCTATAGTTTCAATGATAAAATTTTTTTGGCTCTTTCTAGACTGTTTAAATAAGGCGACTTTGGCGATGGGCGTTAAATTTCAATATAACTGTTGCCAAGAAAAAATAAATTGCAAAATATATAAATTGTGAATTATAATAGTGCTTAAGTATTATAAGTAAATAAATTTGTAATAGTGAAAATAAACCCACTATTTTAAATAAATAATCTATTTTTAAATTAAATAATCATTACATTACAATAAAATGGCAAAAACTAATCTTTTCAACATTTCATATTTTATAGTTAAGTCATTTATATATTTTCCGAAAGTTAGATTCAGCTTGTTAATTTATTGATATGTACCTATATCTAGTTTGCAAAATGAGCATCTTGGTTCACACTATATTAAAAAAAGTGTCAAGTCATGTCATTGTAAAGTATTGAAAAATTATTAAATAAAGTCAATTCCTAAAAGATTCCCTTTTTATTCTATCCATACATTTAATTCGATTTCCCAAATACTGAGTAGGTATTTGTAGAAACAACTTTAGGAGACGCCGGCGAGTTAGATATGGATAAAGTTAAGAAGGTTCTTAACGTACAAAGGACACCTTTTGTGCGCATTTAGGTATTATGTCAGGAAGGATATTTTGGAAGGTTCTTCTATTATCCGAACAGACGTCAGTAAGAATATTGCTCTTTTAGAGCAGAAATTTAAAACGATATCCGAATTAGATCGACAACTTTTGGACCATCCCTTAAAAAATGAGACTGGTAGTGAAACTTTGAACTCTAAAATATTAGTAGCTAAAGAAAACTTCACAAGCTATTATGGGTCAAAGTCTATTGTAGAGCCAAATCTACAAAGAGAGTAATCAAAGTAGCCAAAATAAACGAAAACTTAAATTGTCCAAAATCGAACTGAGTAAGTTTAGTGAAGATATAAAAGATTGTCTAACATTATAGGGACAGTTTAAACAAATTGATTCCGAAGGGCTTGGTAATGAAGATATTTACGAGAAACTAAAGTAGAGACGTCTCGAACCCGTCAAGTCGTCGATAGTTTCCCTGGAATTACAGATAATTATTCAAAAGTAATAATTGTTTTGAAGACTAGATTTCGTAGGTACAGATTTATTAATTGAATATTAAGTTCAAGGCCTTCTTCAACTTGTCCTATCTGATCAATTAAAGTGGTTCAAATAATCTGTATGACAAGATTAAAACGCAGTTTAGAAACTTTGGATGTCAAAATGATGCATGTGCAGCAATGTAGAATCTTGTTTTTCTGAAGATTTACTCCAAGTATGGCAGAGAAGTTGTCAGTATGATGAAAACAATTCATTAAAAATTCATCTAGATAAATTAATGGACTTCTAAAACAAGAAATAGAGAACAAAAAGAAAATAGTCATGACCACAACAGGATCAATTTACGATCACTGCGACAGAAATAATAAAAATCTAACACGAAAGTACCGTCAATAGCCACTGGCTTAATAATTAACACTAAAGTAACAAAAAATTTGTTTTATTTATCAAAAATTATCAAAATTTATTAAAATTTATCAAAATTTATCAAAATTTATCAAAATTTATCAAAATTTATCAAAATTTATCAAAATTTATCAAAATTTATCAAAATTTATCAAAATTTATCAAAATTTATCAAAATTTATCAAAATTTATCAAAATTTATCAAAATTTATCAAAATTTATCAAAATTTATCAAAATTTATCAAAATTTATCAAAATTTATCAAAATTTATTAAAATTTATCAAAATTTATCAAAATTTATCAAAATTTATCAAAATTTATCAAAATTTATAAAAATTTATCAAAATTTATCAAAATTTATCAAAATTTATCAAAATTTATCAAAATTCATCAAAATTTATCAAAATTTATCAAAATTTATAAAAATTTATCAAAATTTATCAAAATTTATCAAAATTTATCAAAATTTATCAAAATTTATCAAAATTTATCAAAATTTATCAAAATTTATCAAAATTCATCAAAATTTATCAAAATTTATCAAAATTTATAAAAATTTATCAAAATTTATCAAAATTTATCAAAATTTATCGAAATTTATCAAAATTTATCAAAATTTATCAAAATTTATCAAAATTTATCAAAATTTATCAAAATTTATCAAAATTTATCAAAATTTATCAAAATTTATCAAAATTTATCAAAATTTATCAAAATTTATCAAAATTTATCAAAATTTATCAAAATTTATCAAAATTTATCAAAATTTATCAAAATTTATCAAAATTTATCAAAATTTATCAAAATTTATCAAAATTTATCAAAATTTATCAAAATTTATCAAAATTTATCAAAATTTATCAAAATTTATCAAAATTTATCAAAATTTATCAAAATTTATCAAAATTTATCAAAATTTATCAAAATTTATCAAAATTTATCAAAATTTATCAAAATTTATCAAAATTTATCAAAATTTATCAAAATTTATCAAAATTTATCAAAATTTATCAAAATTTATCAAAATTTATCAAAATTTATCAAAATTTATCAAAATTTATCAACATTTATCAAAATTTATCAAAATTTATCAAAATTTATCAAAATTTATCAAAATTTATCAAAATTTATCAAAATTTATCAAAATTTATCAAAATTTATCAAAATTTATCAAAATTTATCAAAATTTATCAAAATTTATCAAAATTTATCAAAATTTATCAAAATTTATCAAAATTTATCAAAATTTATCAAAATTTATCAAAATTTATCAAAATTTATCAAAATTTATCAAAATTTATCAAAATTTATCAAAATTTATCAAAATTTATCAAAATTTATCAAAATTTATCAAAATTTATCAAAATTTATCAAAATTTATCAAAATTTATCAAAATTTATCAAAATTTATCAAAATTTATCAAAATTTATCAAAATTTATCAAAATTTATCAAAATTTATCAAAATTTATCAAAATTTATCAAAATTTATCAAAATTTATCAAAATTTATCAAAATTTATCAAAATTTATCAAAATTTATCAAAATTTATCAAAATTTATCAAAATTTATCAAAATTTATCAAAATTTATCAAAATTTATCAAAATTTATCAAAGTTTATCGAAATTTATCAAAATTTATCAAAATTTATCAAAATTTATCAAAATTTATCAAAATTTATCAAAATTTATCAAAATTTATCAAAATTTATCAAAATTTATCAAAATTTATCAAAATTTATCAAAATTTATCAAAATTTATCAAAATTTATCAAAATTTATCAATGTCGTTGTCGTTGTCGTTGTCGTTGTCGTTGTCGTTGTCGTTGTCGTTGTCGTTTTCGTTGTCGTTGTCGTTGTCGTTGTCGTTGTCGTTGTCGTTGTCGTTGTCGTTGTCGTTGTCGTTGTCGTTGTCGTTGTCGTTGTCGTTGTCGTTGTCGTTGTCGTTGTCGTTGTCGTTGTCGTTGTCGTTGTCGTTGTCGTTGTCGTTGTCGTTGTCGTTGTCGTTGTCGTTGTCGTTGTCGTTGTCGTTGTCGTTGTCGTTGTCGTTGTCGTTGTCGTTGTCGTTGTCGTTGTCGTTGTCGTTGTCGTTGTCGTTGTCGTTGTCGTTGTCGTTGTCGTTGTCGTTGTCGTTGTCGTTGTCGTTGTCGTTGTCGTTGTCGTTGTCGTTGTCGTTGTCGTTGTCGTTGTCGTTGTCGTTGTCGTTGTCGTTGTCGTTGTCGTTGTCGTTGTCGTTGTCGTTGT